TGTGTGCGGGAGAGAAGGGCCATGCGTGCGTGTCCGTGTGTGCGGGAGAGAAGGGCCGTGCGTGCGGGAGAGGAGGGGGCCGTGCGTGTGGGAGAGAAGGGGGCCGTGCGTGTGTGCGCGTGTGCGCGCGGGAGAGAAGGGGGCCGTGCGTGCGTGTCCGTGCGCGGAGCCTCGCGGACGCGCCGGGGGGGGGGGGCCCCAAGCGGGCGGTCACGTCCACAGAGCGTTGGCCGGCGCGGTGCGTTCAGGAGAAAGCCGGAGCGAGCTCCGGACGGGCTCAGGGTTGGGAAAGCGTGGGAAGGCCCACGTCTGTGGACGGTGACGGACACTAAGGTCTGCCCGGTGACGTTTGTCATGCCGTCTCCAGGCCGGCCAGGGTGCTGCCCTCTCTGGGGGCCACGGGCCCGTTGGCCCTTCCAGGCAGGGGAGAGGCGAGGGGGCCTCGTCCAGGAAGAACCGTGCTGGCTTTAGGCAGAGACGGGCGAGCGGAGCGCCGTCTCCACGGTGTCCTTCCTCGGTGTCCGTCAGCTGGAAAGTCCCGACGCCACAGCGGCATGTTTGGGGATGGTGGCCCTTTGGGGTCCGCTCTGTGCACCCTGTGTGGCCCCCGCACGGCCTCCTCCAGCGTCCCTCCCGGTGCGTCGCGGCCGGGACCGTCCTGACGGGTGAAGACTGGCCCTCGCTGAGCCGCGGCGAGCTCTGCAGGAGATGCGCGCACGCCCACGGAGGACGGGTCTCGGGGGGCTGACGCCTCACACCGGCGGTGCGTATAGTGATCATCACACACATACGGTTTTTCGTGAGCCTCTTCTCATTTTCGCCGGATGACGGTGGAAAATGCTCTGTTTGTACTTCCTTAAATCTAATTTTGAGGAGCCCCTGGGGGGTTCCGTGCGTTCAGCGGCCGACTCTGGATCTCAGCTGGGGGTCTCGGTCTCAGGGTCGTGACTTCAAGCCCCACGTTGGGCTCCACAGTGGGCATGGAGCCTACTTTAGAAAAACAGTCTAATTTGGGGCTGTAATTTGCATACGGTGCACCTGTTTCAGCGTCTGGCTTGCAGAGTGTTTGACAAGTGTGTGCACTGCAGTGCTGGTTGCCCCCGTGAGCATGGGGAGCGTCTCTGCGTCCCCCCAGAGGCACCCTGGCGCCCGTGCGCGGTGGAGCCAGGCCCTCACACCCGGGCCTCTCTCCACCGCCACCGAACGGGAGCTTCTCTCCTGGAATTGCACTAAACGGACTCATACGGTATGCGGCCTCTTACCCAACCCCGGGAACCCAGGCATCACTCACGCGTGCCCATTCATCACCGAGTGGCATCCGTGGGTGGTGACAGCCTGTCCACGGGCATTTCGCTCACTTCCATTGTTGGCTGTTACGAAGGAACTTCTGGAATGTTTGTATGTCTGTCTGCAGATGTGTTTTTATTTCTCCTGGGTGTGAAGTTGTCGGAGGGTAAGGGTGTGATCGATGACACCAGGGAGGACGGCTCTTTTCCCTGGGGACTCACCACTGCACTCCCACCTAGGGAATGCCCATCTTCCCCGTTTCCTGCTGTTCTTGACAAAGTATGCATTTGGCCATTAAAGTAACCGTTACAGTTTTAGTTTGCATTTCCATGTTGACTCACGAAACGTATCACCCTTCCATGTGCTTGTGAATCATTCCTCTCTGTGCTCTGTGAAGCGTCCAGATAGCCTGTGTACTGACTGGGTTCCTTGTCTACCATGTAGGTTTAAGTAAGTTCTACGCCCAGCATGGGGCTCGAACTCATGACCCTGAGGTCAGCACTCGCCCTCTACCACTCAGCCAGCCGGGCGCCCTTCTGGCCGTGTTTTAAGAACTTTATACAAATCATGTATTCTGGATGAGAGTCGTTTGTCCGATACACGTCCTGGAAGCCTGTGGTTTGCCTTTTCCTTGTTTTAATGGTGTCTTTGGAAGGTCAGACATATAATTGTCACAAGCTCAAGTTTATCGACTTCTTTCTTTCATCATTCAAGAAATCTTTGTCTACCCCAAAGTCAAAAAGAATTTTCTTCTGGAAGTTTTAGAGTTGTGGGTTGTTACATTTAGGTTTTTGATTCATTTCAGGTTATTTTTTGTGTGTTTGATACGAGTTGTGGGGTTATTTTTTTATTCTGATATATAAAAGATTTTCCTGGAGTGCCTGGGTGGCTCAGTCGGTTAAGCGGCTGCCTTCAGCTCAGGTCGTGATCCCAGGGTCCTGGGATCGAGCCCCGCATCGGGCTCCCTGCTCGGCAGGAAGCCTGCTTCTCCCTCTCCCTCTGCAGTTCTTCCTGCTTGTGTTCCCTCTCTCGCTGTGTCTCTCTCTGTCAAATAAATAAATAAAATCTTTAAAAAAAAATTTTCCTTTCCTCCACTGAGTGGCCCTGATGCCTTTGTCAAAAATCAGTTGTCCACGTACATCTGAGCTCCTGGGAGGCACCGTGGTTGATGCGTGCTTTGATTCTTTGCGCCAAACCACCATAACTTCATAGTAAGGTTTGCAGCGGGGTCGTGGGGTCCTCCCGTTTGATTCTTTATTTTCAGAATTCTTTCCGCTGCTCTAAGTGCTTTGCTAGTCCATATTAATTTCAGAATTAGTACATCAGTTTTTTCAGAAATGCCCCGTGGGGCTTTTGTGCGGGATCGCCTAGAATCTACAGGTCATTATGGGGCGAACTGACATTGTAACAGTCTAGAATCGTTCGAACATGCTTCCACGTTCAGGCAGCATACGGAGTTTGTATTCATTTTCCTTAGGAAGTCCGTGGTTTTGATGTTGTAAGTGGTCTGTTTTGTTTTGTTTGTAATTTCATCTTCCAGTTATTGTTCCCATACAGCTGATGTTTGTAGGTTGGCTTGCTGGCCAGCAACCGTGTTAATTTTAATTACCAGGATAACATCTTTCCAGAAGATCCCAAGGCTTTCCTATGATTGGGAGGATCCAGCGAGGTGGTGGTTCCGGTGTTTGAGAGCACATACAGGGTTATTGATTACAGTGCCAGGGAGCGGGGCTGGACGGCGGAGCGGAGACCGTGTGCCAGGAGGCGGTCGGGGGCTGTGGTGCAGGGGGAAGGTGAGGAGGTTTGGGGACATAGGGAATGCTTCCCTTTTTGTGCTCGGTGGTAAGTGGCCTGTTGGTCCGCTCCGGCCTGTGGCTGTTCTGAGCTGGGCTGCCCGATGAGCCTGTCCTACTCAGGCTTCTGAAGGCGGCCTCTGCCCCTCACCCCGGACAGATGGACAAGGACAGATCTGTGGCATTGGGTGGAGGTGACGGTAGCTGCTTCCTGCTGAAGGGGGGGTGGTCCGTCCAGCAGGGGTGCAGTTACGGACCAGAGTGTGGTTTGGTCATTTGGGTGACATTCCTGGGTGGCCAGGGCCATGGGATTTAGGGAGAGGGGCCCCTCTGATGGCACAGTCCTTCCCATATGGAATTGGTGGAATCGAGATGAGACCGACTAACAGATTAAAGAAAGGGAACCAAGAATGAGGGGTATGAGTATTGAGGGCAGCGGTGCTAAGAAGGGAGGGAGTCGGGAGAGCTGTGGTGGGTTTCCCCGAAAACCAGGCAGGTGAAGGACCGGGTTTGCGGTGGATGAAGGTAGGACAAGGGGACAAGGGACCCGGGAGGATGGAGCCAGGCGGCTGGGATTAGCCTGCTCCGGACAGGGTCCCCGCCGGCCGTGAACCACCTGCTCCGCACACCGGGAACGGAGACTCGGGGGGCCGAGCGGGAGAGCCGGGGAAAGGGGTCCCGACCCCCCAGGTGCCCACAGCCCACCTGTGCACCCTCACACCTTCAGACCACCCCGCAGAGCCACTCTGGCCGGAGGCCTTCAGTCGTCCGGGGAGAACGGGCGCTCGGCTGCCACAGGGCTGCAGGGGGAAGGATGGGAGGGAGGGGTCCCCCCGAAGTGCGGGAGGGGACACCCATCATCTTTGTGGGCAGGGGCCATGTGGCAGGTTCCCTCCTGGGCTTCGGGTCCTCACCCAGGAGTCACCTGCAGGGGAGGTCATCAGTGCACCAGGGAGAGTCCCCAGAGACCCCCGGAAAATCCGGGGAGAGTCCCCCGGAAAATCTGGGGAGAGTCCTGGGGTCAAGGTCCTCCGAAAGTGGGGGGACCCAATCAGATGTGGGATGAGTGGATCAGAAGGAGGGGGACCCCGGCTGCTGCAGGGTGACCCTGGAGGGTGGAGGGGGACCCCGGCTGGTGCAGGGTGACCCCAGAGGGTGGAGGGGGACCCCGGTGGGTGGAGGGCAGGCCCAGCGAGCAGAGGTGACCCCGGCTGGCGCAGGGTGACCCCAGAGGGTGGAGGGGTACCCCGGTGGGTGGAGGGCAGGCCCGGCGAGCAGAGGTGACCCCGGCTGGTGCAGGTGACCCCAGCGGGTGGAGGGCAGCCCCGGCGAGCAGAGGTGACCCCAGCTGGCACAGGGTGACCCCAGAGGGTGGAGGGGGACCCTGGCGGGTGGAGGGAAGCCCCGGCAGGTGCAGGTGACCCCAGCAGGTGGAGGCGACCCCAGTGGATGGAGGGGAACCCTGGCTGGTGCAGGGCAGCCCAGTCGAGCAGAGGTGACCCCGGCTGGTGCAGGTGACCCCAGTGGGTGGAGGGCAGCCCCGTCAAGTGCAGGTGACCCCGGCAGGTGGAGGCGACCCCGGCGGATGGAGGGGAACCCCGGCTGGTGCAGGGCAGCCCAGGCGAGCAGAGTCCAGCGGCGGTGAAAGCCCCTCCCCCCAGGGCAGAGCAAGGGGACAGAGGTTCTCAGGGTATAAGTCCAGGGTCATGGGCTCCTGCCGGCAGTTCCCAGCCCCTGCTGGATGGTCAGAGATGGCTGGCACACCTCACCTGCCTTC